CTGATCCCCACGCTGCCGCCGCACCTGCTAGACTACTGCTGGTGAGGGGCGGAGACTGGGAGCGGCGGGACTTGGGGAAGAGCCCAGGGGTCCCGGAGACTGTGGGACGGCGCTCGCATGACCTGTCCCCTCGGTTCTCTGCAGTGCGCCCATGCCCTACCTCATCGGAGTGCACTCCAGTCTCGCCGAGGTGAGTGGGGGCGGACCCGGACCGCAGCGGTGGACCGGATTCCCCTCCTCCTGCATTCCCAAGAACCGCCCGGGCCAGAGATCCTCTGGCTCTGAGCGGCCGTCCCCACCCCCACTCCCCAACGCAGAGAGTGCGGGAGAAAGCTCTGGAGGAGGTCGTGGTCATGAACGTGGACTCCAATACCTTGGAGACGCCCTTCGACGACGTGCAAGCTTTGCCCCCAGACGTGGTCAGTGTCAGCCCCTTCTATGCTCCTGCCTCGTCGCGGAGGCCGAGGCCTCACACCCGCCCGCTCACAGCCTCCCAATGTCCCGCAGGTGTCCCTGCTGAGGCTGCGGCTAAGGAAGGTTGCGCTGGCACCCGGGGAAGGGGTTTCCCGTCTTTTCCTCAAAGCGCAGGCTCTGCTCTTCGGGGGCTACCGCGACGCGCTCATCTGCAGCCCGGTGAGCAGTGGAGAGGCTAAGGGAGAGGCCTGTTGGGTCCTTGAAGGAACAACAACAATAATAATACCTAGCCTTTATGGAGTGCTAACTCTGTGCCTCTGTTTGTTCATCCGTCAAATGGAATCCCACAAGTACCCGCACAAAAGGGTCATGGGAGTCAGTGAATGGGCATGCGCAAAATATTTGGATAGTGCCTAGCACATCGTGAGCACTCGACAAATGCTAGGTTTTACTGTCACTATATCTCATTTAATGCTCACAACCGTCTGATGAGATAGATACCATTCTGGTCCCATTTTAAGTTTGCTGCATAGACACACGGTAGAATAAGGGAGACAGCTGGGGTCCAGGAGAGCCACGGAAGTTTAGGTCGCGGGTATTTCTTCTAGGGCCAGCCTGTGACCTTCAGCGAAGAAGCCTTCTTGGCCCAGAAGCCCGGGGCGCCCCTGCAGGCCTTCCATCGACGGGCTGTGCACCTGCAGCTGTTCAAACAGGTGCGCCAGAACCCTGAGGGCGGCGCCGGGGGGCGGGGCGAGAGCGGAAAATCCTGGGTCCCTGGGGGGCGAGCTGGAGCTAGAGGGACGGACGCCTGAGTACTACAGGGGAGACTAGAGGCGGTCCGGCGGAGTCCCACCCTTCAGGGTCCCCGGGTCGGGGAGGCATGACGCAACTACCGTTTCCCTGAAGTTGGTAGCCCCTGACTCCTGGGGATAAGATCTACTCCCAGGTTCCTGGGGAGATTGAGGTGGGATTAAATCCCTGGGTCCCTAAGGATATAGCATCCGGGGCTGGAGTGGGACTCCGGGATTGTACTGTACGTGCGGGACACTGAAAGGGGCGGGTCGCGAGTGCGCGCTCCCCTTGCTGGGGAGGAGCCGGGCGGGGACTCCGGGGTTGCAGGGACATAGGGGAGAAGTGGAGCCGGATTCCTGGGTTCTTCGGAGGTGGACTGGACTCTAGGGTCCATCTGTGTTGGGATAGGTTCTCGGGTCCCTGAAGATGAGGTCGACTTCTTCCAGGATCACCGAAAGGAGGGGGGCCGGTCAGGAGTGTCAGAGTCCGACTTCCGGGTCCCTATGAGGGGCGGGGTCTGGTCCCTGACGGATTCAGACAGGAGCAGCGGGGAGAGGGTTGGGCTTCTGGCATCCTGAGGAGGCTCCAGACTCCTGAGTCCTAGGGGGTGGATCCCTGGAGGGGCCAGGGGTGACTTCTGCGTGGGTAGAATCCTGAGTCTCCGAATTCGGATGCGTTGGTGGCAGCCCTTTCTGACCCTTCCTCCTCCCCCAGTTCATTGAAGGCCGACTGGAGAAGCTGAACACGGGAGAGGGCTTCTCAGATCTCTTTGAGCAGGAGATCACCTGCAGCGGGGGCTCCTCAGGTGAGCCCTGTGCCTAGCCCGTAGCCCCCGCCCCACCAGCACCCCAACCTCTGCGTACCAGCCATGACCACGTCTCCTCATTGCAGGCGCTGTTCGCTCCTACCAGCTCTGGGCAGACAACCTAAAGGTAGCTAACACCGAACACGTGTTTAGCGTTTATTTAGGGCTGACTTAGCTCCATAACAGTCCCCAGGGAGGGTCATCATTATGCTCATTTACAGACAGAAGTGAAGATATTGAGACTCGCCTAGGGAGAGGGCCTTGTCCAGCATCACACAGCCGGGGTGGGGAGGTGGAGTCATGGGTAACCCCAGGGTACTGAGTCTCTCTCCCTTGCTGTTCTCTCTCCCCAGAAAGGTGGTGGTGCCCTCCTGCATTCTGTCAAGGCCAAGACCCAACCAGCTGTCAGAAACATGTACCGCTCGGTGAGGCTACAGTAGACAGGCCACTTACCGGGATGACAAAGACAAGGGGACAAGGCACATGTCAACCCCTCATGGGAGCAGGACATTTTACCCCCCACCCCGATTTAAAGTGCAAACATTTTGATCAGAACCAAACCAGCAGTTAAGCCATTAACAAGTTTTCCTGCTTTTATTCTCCATTTGCCTACTTTTGTCAGGATCGTTTCTTCCCTATTTGAAATTGACAACCCAGCTTCATTGGTGAACATCTTCTGTCCACCGACGCTACAGTCCCAGCCTCTGCCCTTCGGTTTCCTTGTCTTCCAAGCCCCGAAGTGTCCTGTGGCCAATGTCTGCAGCTCCAAATTGTCCCTTAGGTTTTATTCACTTGCCTGGTTTTTGAATGCTGGTACATTATTACAATGTTCCATTTTTGCCACTCCCCATTTCATTCAGTGGTTATGTCCCCTGGGAACACTTGGGTTGACTTCTTAGGTGGTGCATGGAGAATTGTGACTGTCTGTGAGGCACAAATGTGAACAGAGGGCAAGGCAGTTGTCCTATGGGATGGAGAGCCGAGTTGTCAAAATGCTCGGGGTCAAATCACCAAGGAGGTTAATTCTCTTTTGGCTCCTCCGCAGGCCAAGAGCAGCTTGAAGGGTGTGCAGAGCCTTCTGATGTACAAGGTAAGGCCAGTAGCCAATGGCTGGGGCAGTGGAAGAAGGGGCTCCTGGCTCACCCACCCTCTTCCTAGGATGGGGACTCTGGCCTGCAAAGGGGGGGTTCCCTGAGAGCCCTGTCCCTCACCAGCCGATCAGATCGCCTGCAGCAGCGCCTGCCTATCACCCAGCACTTTGGAAAGGTACCTGTGTCCCCCCACCCCACCCCTCACCGCAAAGGCTCACACCTGGAATTACCACCTAGTCCTCCTCCCATTCTGCCTCCACCCAGACTTATCACTCACCTACCCCAATATCCGGAACCCACTTAACACTCACCCTCCTCCAGAAACCTGATTCTGTAGTTCCTGAGGCCCCGCCCTCCAAATCTGTCCTTTGCAGAACCGGCCCCTGCGCCCTAGCAGAAGAAGGGGCCTGGAGAGCCCTTCTGAGTCCCTGGAGGAAGGGTAAGACTCAAAGGCTGGGAGTGGGGAGGGGGCAAAGTTGGAAGTGGGAGGCTAGGACCCATGGGGAGGATGGTGCCTAAACTCAAGAAGTTCCAGAGGAGCCCAGTCAGGACTGGGGTCTTGGGCAGACATCCGAGGCTCCCATCCTTACCCAGGGCACCTTCTCTGAGCCTTGAGGATGCCCAGGACCCATGGGCAGAGGAAGCTCTGGACAGCAGTTTCCTGGGGTCTGGAGAAGAGCTGGATTTGCTGAGTGAGATTCTGGACAGTCTAAGCATGGGAGCCAGCAGGACGGGGGGCCTGCGGCCCAGCCAGAGCTTGGACTGCTGCCACAGAAGGGACCCAGACAGCTGCTTCAGCTTGGTGAGAGCCCCCCAGTCCTCCCCCTCTAGTCCATCTTTCTTCCCAGCCCCTCCAGCTTCTGAAGGCCAGCAACTTGCCCATCTCCCCACCCCTATCCAGCCTGACATCCCAGGAACATCAAGATGGCGACCAGATGAGGAAAAACCACCAGAGCCTCAGCCCCTGTCCCTACCTGCTGACCTGCCATCTCTGCAAACCCTCCAGCCTTTGGACGCCATGACCTCCTCAAAGGACCCTATTTCCCAGCCACACTTGGAGGCCAGCCAAGAAATCATCTTTTCGTCCCAGTCCTCATCGGCTTCCGCGGATCCAAGCAGCCAAGGAGACCCTGAGCCCCATCTTCTAATCCTACATCTCTCTCCTTCCCCCAAGGCAGCCAAAGATCCCAGGGCCCAGGAGAGCCCCTGCGCCCAGCTCTCCACAGCATCCACCCATTCCAGCCCTCTGGAAAGTCCCCAACTTCTGGTCCCCACAAAGCCCAACTTGGATATTACCTGGACATCCCAACCCCTTGATTCTTCCTCAGATCCTGGTTCCCCAGAGAACCCCAGATCCCAGCCCTCTGAGGTCCCACAGGCAGAGCACGCTCACCTCCAGCTCCCAGAGGGGCCAGGGGCCCTCAGATCCCCTGCTGCACCTGCCAACTGGCAGGAACCCCAGGCTTGGAGCCGGCCCAGAGTGGCTGAGCTTAAAAAGTGTTTTGAAGGTTAAGAATCAGGGACCTGGAAGAGACCCCAGTCCTTCAATAAAGCCACAAGAACTCAAAGCTGGTTTTCCTGGTGAGTTTATCTGGGGGCTCTTTCTCTGCTCAGAAATGTACCCCATCCATTTCCTTCCTCCTGGGGCAGCCTCCAGCTGGTTCTGATGTGTAGCTGAAAGCCCCTCCCTTCCAGGAAGCCCTCCTAGTCCTAGGATCCTTGAAACCTTACGATTCATCTCTCAACAGCCTATGAGCCCTGTGTTTGTTCCCTCCATCTAGACTAACTCCTGCCCCCATCAGCTCAAAGAGAAAAAGCTTTTACTATATCTCACTACCAAATGTATGTATGTGTGTATGTATATAAAATGTGAGCAGTACACTCTCTCTCCCTTGCCCTCAGGGACAGAGTCTTTAAAGCACCTTCTTCCCTGCTATTCTTAAGCACTGGGTAGGTCTGATTACCCAGAGAGGGCTCTGCCTTCCCCCAAGGTCACACAGCAAGGAAGACGGATAGACAAGGAGACCTAGATGGGCAGGCAGCCCCGCACTGTCTCCTTGGAGTCCTGGGGAGCCCGGGCCTCGGCTGCATGGTTGAACTGAAAGGAAAGGAGAGGCTTTGTCGGGCCTGTGTGGCAGCAGGACAGAAGGCCGATCGAAGATGGTGCAGCAAGCGCGGAGGCGGCCCCCAGCCCCGGCATCCCCAACTGCAGGCAGAGTCAAGCAGAGGTGGCATGCTTCACCGAGCCCGCCAGGCAGGTGCCCCGTGGCCCCCCAAGTCCTCCTGAACCCTCAGAGGCTGTTGTCTTGGTGGCAGCTGCTGTGTGTGAGCGAGCACCGGGCGGTCCTGGCCAGTGGTGGTGGCTGCAGCGGGCCCCAGCATTCAGATGAGCCGCTCCTCGGGCGGCAGCTTGAGGTTGGGGGGCGGCGGTACGCGGGCACCCACCTGCTCCTCGCTGCTGGGCCGGTAGGTGCCCTCTGTCTGCCGCTTTTCACGCAGTTTTCGCACCAGCAACACGAGCCCCACGGCCAGAAGCAGGGCAGCCAGGAGGGAGAAGACCACAATGATGGCAGTGATGGCCCCCTGAGACTGCAGGAGAGGGGACAGGTTGACTGTCCAACCTCATCTGAGATGCATCCAGGGCTCCCAATGTCCCACCACCATCGCCCACCCCCACCTGGGATTCCCCCTCCCAAGCACCTGCCACCTCTGGAAGTCTGGGCCCCTTCACCTGCTACACGTGGGATGCCTGAGTAACTTCCCTGCTGCCCTCCTCCTAAAACCCCAACTCACCAGGGCCCCATCAGAGCCAGAGCCTGGCTCAGCAGGTGTAACGGTGCCGTTCTCATTTATACGGGTATCCAGCACTGTAGGGAGGGGGTAGGTAAAGAGTACGAATTAATCCTTATCTATCCTTCCCATCTTGGCACCTTCCTTGGGCATCCCTCGGTTAGAGCTCTGCCTTTCTGAGTCTTCTGTCCTGATAGAGACTGTAGGAGCCCTGCCTGCAGGGGCTGGCCCAGTCCTTCCTGCCCCTCTAGCCACCCCCAAACCAGCAAAGCCCAGCAGTGAGCAATCAGCCCACAGGAGTCTGCTGTTTGCGCTGAGTTGGGGTCTGCTATAACAGATGATGTCTGGAAGCCAGACCCTGCCCCCTCCCCACCACCACTCCAGCCTTCCCTTGGCCCTTAAGGATCTGGGTGGATCCTGCGTTTCCCTGGAGTGTCTGACTCACACCTCCCCCCGGGGTTCCCGAAACTGAAATACAAGCACTGAAAGGCTGGGTCCACACCTATGGCCAGTCTGGTCAACCTGGGATCAGAGGCCCAGGCAGGCCTCCTCCTGGCTCCCAGTCCGCCCAAAACACTTCAACCACACTGAGACTGAGGTACACAGGCTCCTCTCCCCAGGCCCTAGTACTGCCTTCCTCGGGAACTGGAGAATTTCTACACCAACTCCAATCGTCCAAAGAAGCCCCTACCCTGATCGACCCTGTAGACTCCTCTCAAGGTATCCGACGACCGCTCCCCCGTTCTTGACCTCTCCAAGCCCCAGGTAACCCGCGCTTCCAAGCCCAGCCCCGCGCGCCCTCCACCGGTACCTACTTTGCCCCCGGGCCCGGCCCCAGCGGGCCGGCAGCAGCGGCAGGCCGAGCGCCAGAAGGAGCCCCAGGCCGGGGCTCGCCATGGGCCGGGCGACAGGCTGGTGGCACTGGGGACCGGGCTTCTCGCGCGCGCTGCTTCTATCGCATGTCAGGCCGGGGGTACCTGCGACCCGGCACCTGGGGCGGGAGAAAGAGAAAGGTATGGGGGAAGGGGCTAGACCCGGGCGCAGGCCCAGGGGAGGGATGACCCGCCCAGGGCACCCCAGAGTCCCGCCCCGCCCCCGCCGCCAGAGGTCAGAGATTAAAGATTAACTCCGGGCGGCGCGTTCCCGGGCTGGGGAAAGGAAAGAGGAAGGGGGGAAGGGGTGGCAGGCCAAGCCGTGCGTCCTACCTCCCCACCGGGCCCAGGCGTCCTCGACCTTGCTCAGGTTCCCTGTCCGGGTCCCTGGCTCGAACCCTCGGTGCGTCCGTCGGTAACTCGCACTCCTCCAGCTCCGCCCGCTCACGTGACCCGGAAAGTTTAGTCACTCACCTGGGAGGGGAGCGCACTTCCGGCTTGTGCACCTGAGCCTAAGCGAGAGGGCGGAGCCAAACGGGGGTGGGACCGCGCCAGGAACGCACCTGTAACGGAACCCTATTCCATAACACCGAAGAGTAAAAAGGGACGAAAGCGCGCAGGGGTAAGAGAGACCTCCCACCGACATTGCAGTCGCATCTGTAGGATCGCACAAGGGTGGAGATAAACCCGGCGTGGAGACACGGGGGCATGGGGCATGCCTGCGACGGATCCGAATGGGTGGCCCCTAACAAAAACACACCTGTGCGGTACATACCTGCCCGGGAGCCAACCTGCATAGAGGACATGTGCGTGGATATGGAAGAACACCTATGGGAGACATCTGCATTGAATCGCCTCTATTTGGCATATAGCTGAGTGCAAGCACACCTGCACGGAAAACAGCTGTATAGAACACACCTGCATTATAAGAAACACCTGATGGGGCACTCTGGTGTAGGATACCTTTGCTTTGCAAACGCACCTGCGTGGCTTGCACATGAAATGGACAACACTTGTATGAGGAAGTCCTGTGTGGAAATGTATTGGAAAGACCCGTAAGAGACACACCAACATTTTAGAACATCTTATAGGACCCAGGTATATGGAAACATACCCATACAGGTGTACAATTAACTGCAACATACCTATGTGGTGGTGTGGGGGGGGGCAGGTGGAAGTGAGCTGTATAATGCATTCCTGGGTGGATTTCTTTTGAGAAACGTACCTGTGAGATGAAGGATATAGCCTCGTATGAAGAACCTCTGCAGGGAATTTAGATCAAATTAAAAAAAAAAAAAAGAACTGAGAACATCTGCATGAGGCACATTCATTTTGCAGCCTATGGGAGCTTCACGGGGGTTGGGGGGCAGCAGGACAGAGGCTCATGTGTGTGGAGGCCCACCTCTCAGGGACGTGTCTGTGAGAAAACACCTATTTGGGACATTTCTCTGGGAAAACATCTGTATTCCCCATGTTGGGGGCGGCTGCAAGGACCATCTATGAAGAAAACATCTGTGAGGGGACCTCCAAGAGGACACTCTGACCTTTGGACATCAGGCCCTCTCTAAGAGGCCGTTGGTCTGGGACTCACAGGTGTGTCTGAGCACACCTGTCTGGGCAAAAGTAAGCTTGCCCTCATGGCTGTGCTTTTCGATAAAGGACGGTGATAGTAAGACCTCCACCCCCCTGGGAACTCTAGGGTGAAGAGCAATGGTTAAAGGGAAATGAATCACTTTTAGAGTATAGCGCGATGGGTCTGGTTAATTCCAGGTCTGTTTAAATCCCCGCTTTGCCACTCACTGGGCATGTGGCCTGGGTAGAGCAGTTTAACCTTCTGTTTCCTCTTCTGTGAAGTGGGAAAGCCAGTCCCACCCATCTTATAAGGTTTTGGCGAGGATGATTCGAGGCGTGAGTAAAAGGCCTGGACTGTGCAATGCCGTGAATCAATGTTAGTTATTATTATTTTTCGCCAAGTGGTCTGGCCGCCCCTCCTCCTAATGGTGACTCGAGAAACTGCGCCCGAAAGCAGTGGGAGGGACTTTCGGCAGGTGCAGCGAGCGCCGCAGGCTGGTGGCCAGCCTCCAGTGCTCGGCTTCCCGGTCCTCATCCGCACTCGCGCCTGGGACACTGAGATGCCTGGGACACTGAGATCCCCAGGTTGGTCTGGAGAGAGCAGTCGGCACGGCAACCGAATCCGGCCGCGGCCTCTTTAAGACTGCCCAGCACGCCTGAAGCTGCAGGGGCCCGAGGCAGCAGGGTACCGGCGCGGAAGCCCCGCCCACGTGGGGTGGGCGGGCGCAGCTCGGGCAGCTCTGGCCAATAGAAAACCGACTTTGCAGCCGCGCCGCATGTTGATCTTGCGTTTCCCTGTCTGAGTGCGACCGAAAAGGAAGGCTCGCGGGCGGGATGTTTCAGGGCGCAAGCAGCGCTTCTTGATTTTCTGTTTCAGTGGCCGAGTGGGGAATGTGAAAAGAGCGCGCGGGCGGATGGAGGGCTGGGTGGCGTAGGGTTGGTTCTTCAGTATGTCTGGGGAAAAAGAGAAACTTAGTGCCTAAAGAGGAATAGTAGGGGAAGGAGGTCAAATGGAAACGGATTACGAAACCAAATCTGAAAACTCTCGACTGCGCCCCCTTGGACAGAGGGTAAACTGAGGCACGCAAGGCGGAACTCTGAGAGCAGAATTGAGACCACTGATCTCTCTAGCCCCTCTCCCCAGAATGAACCCTGGTGCTTCCCGTGCACTACCAGAGCATCACCCGGCATTCCGCCCCACACCCGCAGCTCCGCCTCCGGCCCCCTCCCCCCGAGCGGATCGGGGGAGGAGACGCAAGTTCTGGCTCGGGCGGCAACCGCTAGCAGTCGCCGCCTCCTGCAAGTGCCAGAGCCCGGCGGGCGGTGCGGAGGCTGCGGTGGCAGTGGCCGCGGAGCCGGCCCTGCGGGGCCCCGGGGGGGGGGGGGGGCCGCGAAGCCCCCGCGGAGCCGCCCCCGGCAGGGCCCCCCCCCCCCCCCCCCACCGGGAGGGCGCCATGCGGGGGGGCCCGAGCGATGCGGAGCGGCGGCAGCGCTGGGGTCGCCTCTTCGAGGAGCTGGATAGTAACAAGGATGGCCGCGTGGACGTGCGCGAGTTGCGCCAGGGACTGGCCCGGCTGGGCGGGGGCGACCCGGACCCTGACACCCAACAGGTACCCCCGCCGGGACCCCAGCCTGGCGCGCGGCGCTCCGGCCCCGCCGGCGCCGGTAACCCGAGCCCCTGAATGGAGCGCTGCAGCGGCCAGCGACTGCCTGTGGCTGCGCTCCAGTGCGGGTGCCCAGCCTGGGCATCTCTCTCTCCTTCCCCCTGCCCTGCGTGTCTGGGCCTAACGGGCGCTCCCAAGACAGAGCCATGGAGGCCCCAGGCCTGGAGTTCAGCTGCCAACACCCGGTCCCCACCCCCTTCGCCGGTGCCTCGAGGGTAGGGGATGTCTTGCCTGTGAAAGGAGCGGGTCCGCTCTCCTGCCCACTGCCCGGGACACACCCTCCTCTGAACTCTTTGCCCATCCAAGACATACCCTGCTCCCCGCCTCAGGAGACACACCCTTTCCCATCCTCCCTCCGCTCCTCTGGGCACCCACTGCCCTCCCAGCCAGCTGCCCCAGCCTCTCTGTGTTTACATTTCCCTGGCGGCCCTTTCCCGGGCCTGGCTTAATGCCCCAGGCTACCCCAGCCCAGAGCCCAATCCCGACCGAGGCCACCCTCAGCAGGGGATGTAGCAAAGCAGGAGTCCTCCCCTAGGCCTGTGCAGGTCTCCTTTACACCTCTAGCTCCAGATGCCACTGGAGTGTCTCTGCAGCACCCTGAGACCTCCAGGACAACCTCCAGAGGCCCGTTGGGTGCTTAGCTTGGAACTCTCATTGCCCCCATGTTGCCCAGACCTGTCCCTAACAGGAGCTCCTGAAACTGCCATATGGACGGGGTTTTGTTTTGTTTTGTTTTGTTTTGTTTTTTAAGAGGCAACTGGGAGGACAGGCTTTCAGAGACAAGAGCCCAAGGCTACCTACCACCTCCCAGTTCTGTAACCTTGAAAAAGTTACTCGACCTTGGAGAGCCTCAGTTTGCTTGCCAGGAAAACTGGACAACTGCTTTCCATCTCGCAGACCTACTGTGGCCTTGGGCATTTTGCTGAGAAGTGAGCTGGCAGATGGAGGGGTGACTTCCCCTGCTCCTGTCCTTTAGGTGCTGGCGGCTCTGAGTTCCTGGACCCTAAACTTGTCATGCCCCCTGCAGATGGGTAGCGGCCTCCTGGAGCTCCTTGTCCCTTCCCCCCTGCCAGGGCATCTCCCCCGAGGGTGACACTGACCCAGGTGGTGGGCTGGACCTGGAGGAGTTTTCCCGCTACCTACAGGAGCGGGAACAGCGTCTGCTGCTTCTCTTCCACAGTCTGGACCGGAATCAGGATGGTAAGGCCCAGGGAGAGGCTGCGGGGGCCCTGGAGACACCAATGGGGTTAGAACTGGCAGCGCTAGGAGGAGGGAGGAGGGCCACTTCTCCCTGATGACTCACAGGCTATTTTGGGAGCTCTCCTCACCCCCCAGCTAGGTGGTTGGGCCCGTGGGCCCATCCCACCTACTTTTCCCTTCTGGGATGCGACCCCTATTATTACCCTGAAGTTTCTAAGGGACAGAGATGCCCCATATTATTTCTGGATTCCCTAAGAGGCATAGACACTCCCCCATAGCCTCTTCTGGGTCCCTAATATTGCCTCTCAATTCCCTATGGCATCAAGATCCCCATAATTATCCCTGGATTCATTTTTTCATTCATTCACGGAACAGAGGAACCCACCCCCCCAACATTGCCCAGTCCCACCTCTCTGATGCCACTGGGTCAGTGACACACCCCCACACCCACCACCAACCCAGCTGCAAATCTCATCCTGGGTTCCTGGATCCCCTGGTCTTCCTAGCCCATCCCCGTTCTGAGCTGTACTGCACCTGGGCTCCGGGGTCCCCACACACACACCCTTTTCTGGCCCCCTCCCCAGGTCATATTGATGTATCTGAGATCCAGCAGAGTTTCCAGGCTCTAGGCATTTCCATCTCGCTGGAGCAAGCCGAGAAAATTCTGCACAGGTGAATAGGTGGGGGTCCCTAATCCCAGGTAACTCAGGTACCCAGGACCCCTTGGCCACCTTGAGTCTCTAGGCCCCAGACCTAATCCCAGGGCAGGTGGAGCTAAGAGGTGGGCTTGGGAGTCAGGCAAATCCTGGGCGGGATGCTTCACTTCTCGGAGCGAGCCTCAGTTTTCCCCTTTGTAAAATGGTGTGCTCTCAGCACAGAGGACGTCAGTCTCCCCCAGACCAACTGAACCTCATTCCAGCACCCGCTGCCCAGCCCCAGAACTGATTCTGTCCCCACCTTGCCCTACACCCCCAGCATGGACCGTGACGGCACGATGACCATCGACTGGCAGGAATGGCGCGACCACTTCCTGTTGCATTCGCTGGAGAATGTGGAGGATGTGGTCTATTTCTGGAAGCATTCTACGGTGAGGTGGGGGCTGCTTTCCTAGCGTGGTGGCTGGGCCCTGCTCTGGTTTCTCCAGGCATGGAGGGGGCTGGGTCAGGAGTCTTGAGAAGGAAGAGGCACTGGGAACAGCCAAGGGAGGAGACTCTAGTCCTCTCTTCCTCTGAGTAGGGCTCAGGGCACTGAGGACCCACTGGGGGAGGTCTCTGATCTGGCTGGAGCCCTTCAGACCCGACTTCGGGGTGCCAGGGGCAGACTTGGGAGGTAGGAGCACAGGGAAGGAGGATCTCACCAGATGGGGCACCCAGCCTCCAGCCTCCACCCATAGCTCCCCTTCTGCAGGCTTCTTTTTGTCTTGGTAAATGGTCTGCTGCTGAAGGGACTCATTAGAAATCCACCTTCTTTGGAAGATCCAAGGAGATTCACTGGAAGTTAGGGGAGAAGGTGCTCTAAATCCCCCGCTTCTGGGTGGGAATTTCTGAATAATGCTTCCAGTGGGATCTGATGGCATCCGGGAGGGAATCCACCTATGGGATCTGCCAAGATCCTCCTGGGAGATCCAGACATTCCCACCCTGGGGATCCGTGAGTGACTTGGTTGGGAGGTCTATAGGTAGATCCTAGGGGAGGGATGATCCCTGGGGGCAGCTTCCCTGTGGGATCTGCGGGGGTCCTGGGAGGGATCCACTGGCCTCCTTATGAGGCAAGTCCCTGGTAGGATCTTGTGTGACCCTGGAGGGATCTTCTGGAATCCTTCTGCAGGAGATCCTTGGGTACAATCCTTCAGAGTACTGATCGGCTCTGGAAGGGATCTTTATATGGTAGATGCTTGAGTAGGCTTCTCTGGGATTTGGCAGAGGTGCCCAGGAGGAATACTGGGATCCTACATGGGAGTCAGGTTGGATGTTTTGCTGGGACCTGGTGGGGTCCCAAGAGGGATCTCCTGGGCTCTCCAAGTGAGACTGATGGGTGGACGCTCTGGGTGTCCTGGGATTCATGAGGGAGACACTCTCGTGTAGGGCTGAAGCCCATCTCTCTGCCCCTATGATGATGTGACACCCCAGTCCCTGCATCCTCAGGTCTTGGACATTGGTGAGTGCCTGACTGTCCCTGATGAGTTTTCAGAGCAGGAGAAGCTGACTGGCATGTGGTGGAAGCAGCTGGTGGCGGGTGCGGTGGCAGGGGCTGTGTCGCGGACAGGCACGGCCCCTCTGGATCGCCTCAAGGTCTTCATGCAGGTGAGGGGCCCTGGAAAGATCCACTCCCTCTCCCAGGCCTCGGCCCCGGAAGGGGACCCCCAAAGCTACCTTATCTTCCCCATGCAGGTCCACGCCTCCAAGACCAACAAGTTAAACATCCTGGGGGGCCTCAAAAGCATGATCCAAGAGGGGGGCATGCGTTCCCTGTGGCGTGGCAATGGGATTAACGTGCTCAAGATTGCACCTGAGTCGGCGATCAAGTTTATGGCCTATGAGCAGGTGGGGGCAGGTGTGGGAGATGTGAGCTGGCCGTGAGGGCTGGTAGGATTGGCTTGGGGGTGCATGGGGGGTTGTCTGCAGGACCCCAGGAGTGGGCATCTGCTCCCCTGGGAGGTGTCCCCAGCAGGGGGACCTGAGGTCCTGCCCACCTCTGTGTCACTCACTTTCAGATCAAGCGGGCCATTCGGGGGCAGCAGGAGACACTGCACGTGCAGGAGCGCTTTGTGGCTGGCTCCCTAGCTGGCGCCACGGCCCAAACCATCATTTACCCCTTGGAGGTGAGAAGAGGGGGACTCTGGCCAGGGCCACATTGCAGGGTGGGGGCTTGCAATAACCATGTCACTCCATGCTGTGATGGGCATTGGGATTGTAACTTTGCCTCTCCCTGACTTGGACTGTGGCTCCTTAGAGAAATGCTGTCTCATGTGTAGTCTCTGTGGGCATTGCAATTTGAAATGTGACTTATGGGGATGGCGGTACTGATCCTAATGATTTAGGCAGCAACTGTGGAGGCCAGCTGTTTACAGACATGCCTCTTCTAAGGATATGGATTTCCAGGCTATTTGTTCCCAGGGAATCATTTCAGGTTTCAGGTTGTGCAGTGTGTCGGGATTCTGATGGAAAACTCAAATCACATAGATGAAGTCTAAGGTAGGCAGTTCAGGACCGGTATGGTGGCTTCCAAGTGTTAGAGACCAAGGTTCCTGCCCTCTATCTTGTTCTAGCACTTCAGAATACGGCACCCACCTCATGGACCAAAATGGCTGTGTGTGCTTCAGTCATCACATCCCTATTCCAGTCAATAAGGAAGAATAGACGAAGGAAGGAACACCTCCCTGCCTTTAAAGATACTTTCTGAGAGTCACACATACCTGTTCTCCTGCTGTTTCATTGGCCAAGACTTAGTCACCTGGTCATATATCTAGGGAAAATGAGAAACGTAGTCTTTATTTTGAGGGGCTGGGTCCTTGCTGAAAATTACAGTTTCTATCATTAAGGGGGAGGAAGGGAACAAGATATTGAGAGACAGCGGTGGCCACCATATGCAACACTGAGAGATGTAACCATTTCTAGGTATAGAGATTTGGGGATGGCAGAAGATTCTAGAGAAAGTGGTGTGTTAAATTCAGTTGCTGTCAGGTTAGAGCCTCCTGGGAGCAGCTGTTCTGAGGCGTCTTCACTCCTGGGTGTGGTGTTTCTGGAAGCACTTTGCCCAGGGATAACTGGGGTCCTCCCCAGGTGCTGAAGACGCGGCTGACTTTGCGCCGGACGGGCCAGTACAAGGGGCTGCTGGACTGTGCAAGGCAGATCCTGGAGCGGGAGGGGCCCCGCGCCCTGTATCGCGGCTACCTGCCCAACGTGCTCGGCATCATCCCGTACGCCGGCATCGACCTGGCCGTCTATGAGGTCTGTGGGCGGCCCATGCCTCCCTCCTTTTCTCTCCCCTCTGGGATTTGCCCACAGGACGCCCCTTTCCCCTAGGGCTGACTCAGTGAATGGCCATAGCTGGGATGGAGAAGCGCCACGGGCCTTGGGATTCTGGGGAACCTCTTTGGCTGTCTGCCTCCCCAACTTTTCACCTTTATTGTTGCGTGAATTCTTCCCACTTCCGTGGACAGTTCAGCCTTGCTGGGCCTCAGGCCTGGACAAGGTCAGGGCCTACCATAGCTCACACAATCGTGGGAGAAAGCGAACGTGAGCTTCAGAAATCCCTGTCTCCCCAGAGCATGTACTGGACCCAGCCGATGTCTTCTTCAGGGACTGCCCATTTCCTAGAAACCACACTCCGTGGCCCCCATCTGTGATCAAGAGAGGCAGGAGTTGGGGCTGAGACCGGGGTGGGGGGTGGGGAGGGCATGATGTCTTCCATGGGTCTTGATTTTTCTCTTCTCCTGGTGGGATCACCAGGTTCTTCCAAGTAGCACAGCCCCACATGTCCCCAGGCATCCCCCAAAGTCTCTGTGTCCAGGAGAGAGCTAGCTTCGCAGGCCAGGGGCCAGTGCAGTCACCAAGGGCCCCGTCCTCAGAGGGCCCGGCTCTTGGTTTGATGCCCTGCTGTTGCGATCCTGAAATCCCTAATCGTTTTTAGACGAGGGACCCTGCACATTTTTATTTCACGCCGGGCCTCGCCTCCAACACTGCACACCTGCCATCCATCCCTGACTTGCCCATCTGCCAGCACCCAGGCAGCCCCACGAGACAAGGCCACCACTCGTTCATTCACTCGCTCACTCAGCAACAATTTACTGAGCGTCCCAAGGTACTGGGAAGCGTTACATAAAAATGCAGTCCTCGCTCTCCTGGGGCACCCACTCCAATGAGCAAGGAACTCAGTTCTCGGGCCAACAAGTAGTTTCAGATCCTGCTAAGTTCTCAGAAGAGGATAAAACAGGATGTGTAATTGAAAGTAACAGTGGGCAGGAGGGCGTCGAGGCAGGCCTCTGAGAGGTAGTGAGCGAGGGCGTGTGAACCAGGCAGAGGGGGCCAGGAGCACAGGAACCGGAGTCAGCAGGAAGTTGGTGATGTGGCTGTTTTTTCCAGGGTGCAAGACGCAGCCACTGGGGGGCTGAGCGCAGAAATTAGACGTAACTTTGCTTGATCCATTCTTCACCCAAAAAGGGAGCTGGGAGGTCTAAGTGGTTTAAGACACCCTGTGCCCTCTTGGAGTTTCAAAACCTATGTTAGTCCCTTAAAGGTTCTGAGAAGTCTGCAGAAAAGTGATTTCACTGTTTTTTTTTTTTTTGTTTTGGGGGGGTTTTGTCGCGCTTTTTTTTTTTTTTTTTTTTGGCCCAGTGATGACCATACCTATGCATTCATTAGAACTTCTTTTCAACAACTCTTAAACACTCGCTCAACATCTCTTTGGCAAATCCTGCTCCAAAGAAGGCTATTAAAATCGCAAAGGCAGTAACGGCAAACGCTTGCTTCCCAGGCACCCACTCCTTGCCCAGCCTGGACTTCACTGATCTATCCCAGCCCTGAGTCCCTCTCCACACACTTCAGGGCAGCAATTACCAAGGGGTTAGAAGTGACATAGGACATGAAACCTCAGAGCCATCCCAGCCCCAGAGCAAGAAAGAAGATCCTCCCCAAGAGGCTTCATAAGGGGCTGGCTACCTGAAAAGCCACACACACCACTCCCGGCTTGGTGTTAGGACTCCATCGTATCTTTTGCAGGGATGCCCTCGTCGAACCCTTAAGGGCATGTTATCAAGCAAGTTAACATGTGGGCAGGTGGAGATCAATCCTGCTCCCAGTGGGGGGCGCTCACGCCTCTGGAGGCAGCAGAGAACACGCCCCACCAGGGACACTAGGGAGCAGGGGCATTGATACACCAAGACAGCTGTCCAATCCTTGCTGCTGAGGACAGGGGGGTGCTCGTTTCCCAGCACTTCCTGCCCATTCCTGGGTGCTCAGAGCAGTGTCACCTGGGTCCAGCAGGAGTCCTCGGGCAGAACTGTGGCTGCTGGCAGTTGGGAGTCCGCCAATGTGAGTGGAATGGAATGCAGACGGCACGTCCACACTGGAGAGCCTGTTAGCTTCCTACGGCTGCTATAATGAATTGCCACAACCTTAGGAGTTTAAAAGAGCACACGTTCACTATCACATAGTGTTGAAAGCCAGAGGTCCGAGATGGGGCTCACCGGGCTACGATGAAGATGTTGACAGGGTTGCCTTTCTTCTGGAGGCTGCAGGGCAGACACTGTTGCCTCGTCTGTCCCCTTCTCTAGCAGCTGCCCATTTTCCTTGGCCGGTGGGCCCGTCGTCCATCTTCAGAGCCAACTCCGCAGTGTCTTCCAACCTGTTCCCCACCTCTGCTTCTACTATCCCCTCTCCTCTCTTATAAGGAGGCTTATGATGACATTGGACCTACCTGATATTCTAGGATTGTGCCCCATCTCAAGGTCCTTAACTTAATCGCATCGGCAAAGTCCTTTTTGCTATGTGAGGTACCATATTCCAGCTTCCAGGGACAAGGGCACGGACAGTGGGCGTGGGGGGCATCATCACATATACCATAGAAGGTTGAGGTGGGGCCTGAGTGACAGGACACAGGTATCGTGTTGTGGGACACTCAGCACGTGTTGGCCATCAGGGAGGGGGCAGAGGCCAGTGAGCAGGGCCTCCAAAGCCAGGGTTGTGCATGGTGTTACCCAATTCCAATCCAATCCACACTCCACTCCCTTCTTCGCCCCCACCAGACCCTGAAGAACCGGTGGCTCCAGCAGTATAGCCACGACTCGGCCGACCCAGGCATCCTCGTGCTCCTGGCCTGTGGCACCATCTCCAGCACCTGTGGCCAGATAGCCAGCTACCCCCTGGCCCTGGTCCGGACCCGCATGCAGGCCCAAGGTGAGGCCTGGGGGGGAGGCTGGGGCAGGGAAGAGCATCACCTCTCGGGCCCCACCTCCCCATCCCCAGCTCCTCCTCCTGGCTAGGGAGGGTCCCCGGCTGGGATCCTCCTGGATTTGGATGGACTTCACTAAAGTCCCTACCTTTCTCTGGGCCTCAGTGTACCCATCTGTGACCCTGGAACAGGCGCCCTTTGCCTGCTCTGAGCGAGGAGAACAGATGAGCGAGTATTGGGAGAGAGCCCTTAACAAGCTTAGCTGGGAGGGCTGCTAACTGGAGCTACGTTTGCAAGGCTGGGTTACACTGATGGAAGGGGAGGGAGGATCTGGGTAAGAAGGGGCGGGACCAGGCTGGCTATGGGTTTATTGTTTTCCTCTGTAGGTTTCTTTTAGGGTTCTCCCCCCAAACACACACACACACACACACTCCTGAATCAGTTTCTGGAGTTTCCTTGGGAATTTTAGCATTTGTGTTCCGTGAGTTTCTCCGGGGCTGTATTAGTGCATAAACCTGGGTTCTCGCTCTCCAAGAGCTCACAGGCTGGAGAGGAAGCAAGGTGCTGAATAATCATTCCATGATTCAGTATGGATTTAGGGTTGAATGAAGGAGAAGAGGAAGAGCCAGACTTAGACTGGGGTACCAAGGAGGCCCCCCAAAGAGCTTGCTTTGGCATGAAGTTTGGAAGGTAGAGAGGGGGGAGCTGGGAGAATAGGCTGGGAAATGAGCTCCAGGCAGAGGAACTGTCTGTCCCCTCTCCCACCACACACATACATGCACCTTCTCTGTTTCTAATTGTCCCCAAACTTGGGCCCTCAGAAGCAGGGTGAAATGTGAGCAGCCATTTCCAGAGCCAGGAGAACTCCTGACTCTGAGTAGGTCCTGCTGTTGAGCTAATCCGCCTCTCTCGTGCTGTAACGGCCACAGGCCCAGCCCTGGGGAGTAGGAGGGGGAAGTGAGAGGGGCCGCTTGGCCTCACCTGGCCTCCCACCCCCCCCAGCCTCCATCGAGGGTGCCCCCCAGCTCTCCATGCTGGGTCTGCTCCGTCACATCCTGTCCCAGGAGGGCGTGTGGGGCCTCTACCGGGGCATTGCCCCCAACTTCATGAAGGTTATCCCGGCTGTGAGCATCTCCTATGTGGTCTACGAGAACATGAAGCAGGCCCTGGGGGTCACGTCCAGGTGAGGGACCCAGAGCCTGACCCACCCCAGATCCCTCACCTCAATCATGACATCCCCCACACCCCAGGCACTGGAGACTGATGGCCCAGCCAGTGGATCCCAGGGCTCCCCACACTAAATCACAGGATCCCCCACTTTATCCACTGGGTCCTGCACCCCTGTATCGCAGCTACTGAGCCCACACACACAAGGGGTTCTGGACCTCCATGACTTAACCACGGGATCCCCCACAACCTGACTAATGGACCCTGACAGCCCAACTACAGAAGCGCACATCACCATACCCAAACAGCCAGCCCCAAGCCCCTGCAGGCCCCAGATCCAGCACTGGGTCCTAGATCCCCAGACCCACTGGCGGATCCCAGATCCCCATGCTTCCAGCCCTGGATCTCCAAGCTCGGCCACTGGATTCTGGATATCAAGAAGCCTCAGCCTCCGGATCCTGACAATGCAATGCCTAGATCCCGGGGCCCCCGCTACTGGATCCCAGATCCCCTCACCCCAACTACTGGATTCCTGAATTCCTTTACCTTGACACTGAGTCCCGGATCCCTCTGCTTGACTACTGGATTCCCTACATTTCAACCACTACACCCTCAACCCCCAACCACCGGATCTCGGATTCCCAAGCCCTGACCGGCTGGATCCTGGCTCCTAAATCCACAATGTGAGCCCAACGGCTGAGTGAGTGGGTCCTGGTGACTGCGGCTGTTGGACCCCCACACCCCTTCACCACAGGCACTGGATGCTGAAACCTCACCCATAGGAGGCAGACCCCCCCACACCCTTCCAAGCACTGGATCCCAGACCCTTAACCCCTGGATTCTGACCAGAATCCTCCCAGGCACTGGATCCTGAATGCTCAGACTCCAAGTCTGGATAGATCCCAATAAGCCAATGACAGCTTCCTGGATCCCCCGTGCCCCTGTCCCAGACACACCCCAGAGCCCAGGGTCCCATGCCACAAAGCCCAGGGTCTAAGGGGCCTGTTGGAAGCCTAGGTCCTGGCCTCCTGCTTCCAGAAGACCCATGGGACTTGTCCAAAGTCCTGACATGACTAGAAGCCAGCAGCCAGGGAAGGAGATGCCCCCGCCCATGCCCTAGGCAGAGGCTGGACACGCCTGCCACCCACCCAGCATGGCTGTACCTCCGGTCCCTGTTGCAAAACTGCCCCCCACCCCTGACAATGCACTGCGGTGTCTTCCATTCCCTTCCCACCTTTAGGCTGATGATAACCTCCCATCGCTGTCTCTTGGGGACTGTCAAGGGGACAATCTGAGGCCGGGGACACATTATAGGGACTCCCCCAAACACATCCCAGCACTGCCAGCCTCTACCCGGGCTTCAGGGTTGGGAGCCGGGAGCAAGCCTACATAGACTAGCCTTCCAGGGAGCCAAGCATCCAGTTATGCAAAACAAATCCCCAAATCCCCCAAACTCACTCCAGGTCTATTTTTCTACCAGAGAGGAGCAGACATTCCTCCCCCTCAGATAACTCAAGCCCCCCGCACCGCCCCCCCCCAGGACCCTGTACATTCTGCACTTTATAGTTGGGTTTTGAGTGTAGCATAATTGGGGGACCCCTCCTGTCCCTCCTCCCAAGTCCTTGGGGAACCCCAGGAAAGGACTACAAAAGAGCAACTGGGTTGTTTGGGGAGGCTGGAGGACCCCCCCTTATGGCTTCCACCCACCCCACCCCCACCTACACCATGTCCCACCTCCTTGCCTGCGTGTGTTATTTCAAAGGAAAAGAACAAAAGGAATACACGTTCTAAGCTCTTTCCTTGTGGTTTTTCCTGAAAGGGGGTGGGTCAACGTGGGACCACCTCAAACTACCCCCCAGGGAAGGGACATGGGCCAGCCTCTGTCGCACACAGCTGCAGGAGAACAGGAAATGACTTCCTCAGTTTCCATAGCTGTGAACGGGGGGCAGGGAAAAGCCCACCTTCATGCGCCCTTTTTATGTTTCCCAGGGCCGCTGTAACAAATTACCACAAACTGGGGGCTTAAAATGGCACAGTTTTTAGATTGATACGTTTTTTTATTGTGGTAAACCAGACAGCACATAAAATACACCATCTTAACCATCTCTAAGCAGCACGAAGCACAATCACATTGTCTTGGAACCACCCCCACCCTCCGTCTCCAGAACTTTCCATCTCCCCAAACGGAGACTCTGTCCCCATGAAGCATGGACTCCCCACCCCCTGTCCCAGCCCTGGCTCCCACTGTCTCCTCTCTGTCTGTGTGGACGGGACTCCTCTAGGCCCTCCTGGGAGTGGGGTCCTGCGGGATGGGTCCTTCTGGGTCTGGCTCCTCTCGCTGGACCCAGTGTCCCTGGGGGTCCCTCCACGTCATGGCAGTTATCAGGATGTCCTCCCTTTTTAAGGCTGAATAATATTCTAGGGTGTGGATGGACCATATTTTGTTTATTCATTTACCCATGGAGGGACACTTGGCTTGCTTCCACCTTTGGCTATGGTGAATAAAAACAACAGGAATTTATTGTCTGCCAGTTCCCAAGGCTAGAAGTCTGAAATCAAAGTGTCAATGGGGCTATGGTCCCTCTGAAGATTCTGGGGGAGGATCTTTCCTGCCTCTTCTGGCTTCTGGTAGTCACGGACACTCGGCAATCCTCAGCCTGTAGACCCAATCGGTCCGATTTCTGCCTGTCTTCAAATGACCAAACTTTCTCCTTTTACCATCTTGTTTGTGTTTTAAGCTGTTACATTTGGGGTAATTTGTCACACAGCAACAGCTAACTGATACGCACACAGAGATATGATTTTCCACCCACTCGAAGATGGACTCAAGCCTTGCTAACTATTTTGTATTTTTACTTCCTTTAAATTATGTCCTGAGGATCGTTTTCCCGGAAGCGGGATTGCTGGGTCAAAGGGTATGACAATTTCAGCGTCCCGCCACCAGAGAAATCGTCTGTGATACACACAGCTACCAACGAGGAATTAGCATTCCTATTTTGACTGCGGTCATACCAGCATGGAGTGTTACCGCTTTGATTTTATTTAATGAGGCCAGTCAACAACTATTTTCCGGTCCACCTTTTTACATCCCGTTCCACCATTGGGGCCTTGGGAACTGATGTGTGCTGTAATACCACACAGACCACTTTTCTCTTTTGGAGTCTCCCCACCCACAAAATAGGGGACGTTATCACTGACATCTTTTTTTTTTTTTTAAGATTTTATTTATTTATTTGACAGAGAGATCACAAGCAGGCAGAGAGGCAGGCAGAGAGAGAGAGGAGGAAGCAGGCTCCCTGCTGAGCAGAGATCCTGATGCGGGGCTCGATCCCAGGACTCTGAGATCATGACCTGAGCCGAAGGCAGTGGCCCAACCCACTGAGCCACCCAGGCGCCCCTATCACTGACATCTTTAAAGGGATAAGAACATATTTATTGAGCAAGTACTCAATACGTTGACTCTGTGCTGAGCCCTTTGCCGTGTTATCTCCTTTCCTTACTCATCTATTTACCGGACCCCTGCTTTGTGCCAGACCCGGTTTTGTGCAACACACAACAATCACTGCCCTCAAAGACCCCACATTCCAGTGCGGAGAGACAAACAATGAGTAACACACATGAGTGAACGTGTAGCTGGGTAGGAAGCAAAGGTGCTATGAATAAAAATAAAATGGGGAAGCAGAGTTTATATCTCAAATAGAGTGGTCAGAGGAAGCACCAGGGAGAGGGGGATAGTTGCATGAAGATTTAAGGACAGTGAGGGAGGGAGCCATGGTGATGTCCAGGAAAACAGCATTCTAAGCAGAGGGAACAGCCAGTGCAAAGGTTCTGGGGCAGCACTGTGCCTGGCGTGTTGGAGGAACAGGGAGGGGGCCTGTGTGGCTGGAGCAGAATGGGCAAGGAGGAGGAAGGGAGGAGGGAAGGGCAGGAAGGGGACCGGGGAGGTCATGCAGGGTCTTGTGGGCAAAAGGGAGGACTTGTGCTTCCACCCCAGGGAGATGGGAACCCTGGAGGGCTGTGGGTAGGGGAGGGCAGGACTGGACTGAGGTGCTCACGGGTGCCCTCTGGTGGTTATTGTGGGGAGTACAGACCAGATGCAAGAGTGGGCGGGCCCAGAGTGGAGTCTGCTGCCCTGGTCCAGGTAATCCATCATGGGGCTGGACCAGGGTGGAGGCCATGGACATGGTGAGCAGCAGCCAGATTCCGGGTATATGTTAAAAGTTAAGCCAGGATTTGATAACAGAATGTGGGCATAAGAGAAAGAGAAGAATCATGAATGACATCAAGATTTTTGAACAAAACCACATAGAGGACAGACACGCTCTCCATGAAGATTCATTGCAACCTCTTGACACGATGTGGTACAGTTTATCATCACTTCCAGTTAACACATGGGGAAACTGAAGCTCAGAGAGGTAGAGTGATTACCCCAAGGTCACACAGCAGGAGTTGTCCTAGATGGGATTGAAACCCAGGTTGCCTCCAAAGCTATGCTTGTCTCACCTTGGAAACCAACTGGGTCTCTCCCTCTCAGAGCTCCAGAACCTTCCCATTCTCCCTCACTTCCATCTCCCATTGCCACGACAACAACACACAGTGCATTTGTTTCCTATGGCTGCTGTAACAAATGACCACAAACATGGTGGCTTCAAACAACACAGATGTACTATTCCAGAGGTCAGAAGCCTGACCCGGATCTCACTGGGATAAAATCAAGCTCCTTCTGGAGGCTCCAGAGGAGAACCTGCTTCCTGGCCTTTTCCAGCCTCGAGGGTCTGCCTGCCTGCATTCCATGGATCGTGGTTCCCTCCTCCATCTGCAAAGCCAGCAATGGTTGGTCGAGTCTTTCTCATGTTGAATCCTTTTGACGCTGACAGTCCTGCTTCCCTCTTCACCGTTTAAGGACTCATGAGATTAGACTGGGCCCACGCAATGAGTCCATAATACTCTCCCCATCTCCCATCAGCTGGTTAGTGACCTTAAATCCTTGGGCAAATTTACTTTCCCCTTTGCCACGTAACATGGCCAGTCCACGGTTTTAGAGGGATCTGGATATGGACATTTTGTAGGGGACACTCTTGTTCTGCCCACCACATCCAGTGAGGTCACAAGGGCCTCTGTGACGTCATTGTGCCCCAGTACCCAATTTACAAGCTGGCCCTCCCACATGGTTGCTGGATTGGTAAATCTGTCACCAGGGATTTGAACCGGGTTTCCTGACCCTCCGGCTCCCATGGGAGATCAGCCTGAGGAAGCGCAGAAGCCTTGCTTGAGCGTCCAGACCCTGTTTAAGAGGGTCAAGGCCTTGCTCACCAAAGCCCCACCTCCGACCCTGCCCCCACCCCTCTCCCGGAATCCAGGCTGTACACATGTGTACGGGTATGTGTTTGGGCACGTGCGTGAAAATGACCTGGAGCATCTCCCATCACAGCAGGTGAGTCTGAGAACGGCAGGTCAGCCGGCACCTCCAGCCCCCTCTGCATGACCCACTCCCCTCCAAGCAGACCTGGCTTTCCACCTTGAAGCAGTGGGGGCCAGGGTGGGCCTTCACCAGGAGGGGCTTCTGGAAGTTCAGGGAAGGAGCTCCAGCCTGGCTGAGTACGGGTGGGAGCTGGGTCTGCCTTGCAGGTGCTGGACACAGGAGAGCAGCTGATGGTTCCCATGGATGTCCTCCAAGTGGATAACGAGGGCGCCCTGTGGAAGTTTCTGCTCTCAGGGGCCATGGCTGGGGCGGTATCCCGCACGGGCACGGCCCCTCTGGACCGAGCCAAGGTGTATATGCAGGTGCGCGGGGAACCCAGCACTGGAGCCTTTGGGGTGGGGCTGGACGGAGGCAGAGCTGATGGGGTTCAGGATGGGGGGGGGGGGGGGGGCTGGGATGTGGGTTGGAGTCAGGAGGAGGCTGAATGGAGACAAGGGTGGGGGCTGGAGTTGAGGATAACGCTGGAGCCAATAGGGTTGAAGGAGTAGCCGAGAGACCGGCAGGAGGGACAGGGTGGGGCTGGGGATAAGGGAATCGGGGATAGGGTCTTTGGATGGCTTTGAAGGCAAACTAGAACAGGTAAGGAGAGGAAGACGAGGACATAGATGGGCACGTGGGTCTGCGTGGGTTACAGTGCTGTGAGGCCAGCTGGGGAGGGAGCAGGAGGAGGAATGGGGTTGGGTGGCTAGGGACAGGACGGGGTTGAGCTCCAGGCTGGGATGGAGGAGATCCGGGTGGGAGGCTCCTCACAGGGCCAGTGGCCTCCCTATCCCTAGGTCTACTCCTCCAAGACTAACTTCATGAACCTGCTGGGGGGGCTCCGAAGCATGGTCCAGGAAGGGGGCTTCCGCTCCCTGTGGCGGGGCAATGGCATCAACGTCCTCAAGATTGCCCCTGAGTACGCCATCAAGTTCTCCGTCTTTGAACAGGTGGGCAGGGGGCAGCCCACTTTGCCCAGCCCCTGCCCTTCAACCCAAACCTCTCCTAGATCTCCTTGCAAGCCCAGATCCTTACCCAAGACACGCTTTCACGCTCTGGCCCCAGACCCAGGGTTGGTTTCAGCTAGGAAGGTTAGCAGTTCTCTCTGGTCCTCTCTCCCGCTCTAGTGTAAGAATTACTTCTGCGGAGTGCACGGGTCCCCACCCTTTCAGGAACGTCTCCTTGCTGGCTCCCTAGCTGTGGCGACCTCCCAGACACTCATCAACCCCATGGAGGTAAGAGAACACCTGCCCCATGGAAGATGAAACAAGGTGAAAATTAGCTACCAGCTGCTACCGCTTCCTCCTCCTTCCCCTCCTCTCCTTCACGTGAGGTGTGTGTCCCACTTGTATTCCAGATGGCTCCCAGGTTATCTCAACACCTATGTATTGGATGGGTCCTGTTCTTTTCCTCAATGAGCCAAGATGCAACCGGTATAAATTCCTGTGCATATTTGAGAGTATTTTTGGCCTTTCTCTTCTCACTCTGCTATGTCTGTCCAAGCACTAGTGTCTCCCCCCCCCCCCGCTTTTTCTTGCAGGGGATAACAATTAGATTTTTTGTACAGCAGTTTTAGATTTACAGAAAAGCTGAGCAGGAAGTACAGGAGTTCTTATACACCTCTCCCCACGTATACAGTTTCTGCTATTAACGTCTTGTGTGGGGGAGGGGGCGTTTGTTGCAACTGATGAGCCAATATGGATACATTATTATTAAAGCCCGTAGTTGCCATTCTTGGATTTGTACAGATGTATATGGACACGTACTCACCATTAGGGTGTCATACAGAGTAGTTTCACTGCCCTAAAAATCCTGAGTTCTGCCTACTCACCCTTTTTTTTTTTTTTAAGATTTTATTTATTTATTTGACACAGAGAGAGAGAGATCACAAGTAGGCAGAGAGGCAGGCAGAGAGAGAGGGGGAAGCAGGCTCCCTGCTGAGCAGAGAGCACGATGTGGCTCGATCCCAGGGCCCTGGGATCATGACCTGAGCCAAAGACAGAGGCTTTAACCCACTGAGCCACCAGGTGCCCCCCTACTCACCTCTTCTTGCTTCTCCCGAGTCCCTGACAACCCCAGACTGTTTCATCCAACGCAGGGCTGGAACTCATGACCCTGCGAGCAAGAGTCACAAACTCTTCTGACTGAGCCAGCTGGGCGCCCCTACAGTTTTATCATCTTTAATTTTTCAGGCTTGATCTTACGCTTTCTCATCCCCCATCCCTGCTCTTTATCGGTTTTCCGGGTTACTCCCCGCTGTGGTTTCCCATATAAACTTTAGAAGTAACTTGTCTAGTTCAGAAAAAGTCACCTATTGGTTGTTTTTTTTTTTTTTTTTTTTTCTGGGATGGTATTCGATTTATAAAGAAGCTTAGAGGTGCCTGCCATCTATATGAGGCTGGGTCTGGTGTCCAAGATCATTTCCATGGGTTCGAGTCTCCTTTTATTGACTTTAATGGTCTTTTTAAAGTTGTTGTTTTTTTCCCCATATAATTCTTGCCCTTGACCAGCTAAATTTTGTCTTATAGTGTATTTGTTCTATTGCTGTGTAACAAATTGCCAGACTCAGTAGCTTAAAATGATACAGGTTTACTATCTCCTTTGTCTGTGGGTCATGCCTGGGCACTGGCTAGTCAGGTCCTCTGCTCAGGGTTTCATCAGGCCAAAATCAAGGTGTTGGCTGGGCTACAGTGAACCTGAGGCCTGGGTCCTCTGCCAAGTTCCTTGGTTGCTGGCAGGATTCAGTTTCTTATGGTTGTAGGACTGAGGTTCTCAGCTCCTAGAGGCCATGTACTGTCCCTGCCAGGTGGTCCTCTCCACAACAGTCTGCTCGTTTAAGAGCAACTGAAGGGTGTCCTGGATGCTCCCCATCACTCTGATTTCTTCTGTCTCTGGCAACAGACTCATTTAAAAGGATCACCTGATTTGGTCAGGCCCACCTAGGACAATCGGTCTTGCTTCACTTAAAATCAAGCGCTTCAGGACCTCCAATACATCTGCACAATCCCTTCACCTTCGTCATGTAACTTGACGAGGGGAGTGACACCCCATCATAGTCACAGGCCTAGCACACTCTCAAGGTCAGGGGGCGGGCATTATATGAAGCATACATATCTGGTGGGAAACTTGGGGGCCACCTCAGAATTCTGCCTATCGAACGTGGCGTTTGGTCTTACAGGCAACTGTAGAGCTGCCAATATTTTGATGTTGGGGGTATTTCATACAAATTATGTCTGGCTTCTCTTGGAAAATTGGCAAACCTGGCCACCTAGGGTCTGCACCCCCCGTGGCATTATATCTGGTGTCCGCCCGGTATAGGCTGTGACTCCGCTCAGTCCACGCCACTTTCCTTATCCTCTTGCCTCTGTCAGCACCGGGGCTTCTGAATCCTGGGTGGAGGGCACGCACAGGCCAAGGGATCGCGTGGCTCTGGGTTCGAACCTCCGCTCTCTGGACTCCTCAGCTTCCGCTTCCTCAGCTGGAGGACAGAAACGCCGGCTGCCGCTGAGGGCCGATGAGAGCTTTCCATCGGATGAACCCCCTCCCTCTTCACCCTTCCCAGGTGCTGAAGACACGGCTGACCTTGCGCCGGACGGGCCAGTACAAGGGGCTGCTGGACTGTGCGAGGCAGATCCTGGAGCGGGAGGGGCCCCGCGCCCTGTACCGCGGCTACCTGCCCAACGTGCTCGGCATCATCCCGTACGCCTGCGCGGACCTGGCCGTCTATGAGGTACGGGTCCCATAGAGGGGTGCTGGGGCTGGTGTGGACGTAGGCCGGCAGTGAGTGTCCTGCTGACCCCCTTCTCTTGCAGATGCTCAGGTGTTTCTGGTTGAAGTCGGGCAGGGACATGGAGGATCCCAGTGGCCTGGTCAGTCTGTCATCGGTGACACTGTCCACGACCTGTGGCCAAATGGCCAGTTACCCGCTGACGCTGGTGCGCACCCGGATGCAGGCCCAAGGTCAGAAGAGCCCCAGTGGCCACCGTGCCTGCCCCTCCCCTCAGCCTTGACTCTGAACTTTCTCATCCCCCAAAACTGACTCCCAAAGTCTCCACATCTGATCCTGGCCACCTGTGCTGAGCTCTAAACTCACCAAGACTCACCCCCAAATATGACCCCAGCCCCCAAATTAACCCTACAAACCAGTGAAATGAGCATCTCCCAACTGACTATAAATGCCCCCCAAATGCGACTCAGGCCCCCACACCATACTTCAAGACACAGATTCCCCAAATGCTCTCCCAACTTCTCCAAAACAGACCCACCCTGTATTCCTAAAATTCCTAAATTTGCTAAAACCAACGTTTAGGCCTCCCAGTGTCATAACCATTTCCCCCACTAAGTTGGGTACTCCGCAAATGGACTCTTAGCCCCTAAACCAATCCACAAACACCCAAACAAGTCCTTGGCCCACTACCCGAATCTTGAAGATATCCCCAAACCACCCCTTAGCACACTCCCCAAATCTCTGGCAGATCTTCGAAGTTCCCTCCCAAATAAGTGTGAAAGCTTTCTAAGATGTTCCCGAAAACAAATCCTGAAAACTCTTGCCTGGGTTGATCTCACTCTTCCCCAGACTGACCGATTTCCTCTAAAAGTCTTCCAAGCTCCTTCCCAACTGACCCCCAGACTCCGGCCCCTGGCTTCACCCAACCCCCCAACATTCCAGCCTCCCCAGGTGGCCAGATCATCTCTGCGAGAAGCCCTGAGCTTGCCCCTGTTCCCACAGACACTGTGGAGGGCTCGAACCCCACCATGTGCGGAGTCTTTCGGCGGATCCTGGCCCAGCAGGGTTGGCCAGGGCTGTACCGAGGCATGACTCCCACTTTACTGAAGGTGTTACCAGCAGGTGGCATCAGCTACGTGGTGTATGAAGCCATGAAGAAAACCCTGGGTGTATAGGCGATGGCGAGTTGACACACTCTGGGCAGAAATGGACAGGAAGATCCAGGGTCTCCTGGCCCAAATAGCCCTCCAGGCTCAGGCCCAGGCGGCAGTTTGTCCGGAGAAGCAGTCTGGGGGCCTGGCTGGAAGATCCCTGGGGATCCTTCCCAAGGGTGCGGCCAGGGACTAGTCTGGACTCCAGGTTGGCTCGTTGTGGCTTGTCCTGGCTTCAGGGTGAAACGGTGGACATAGAGACAATCGGAAATAAAGAGACAGTTTCGGCCAGGTGTGTCTGGGATACCTGCGTCCAGGAGGGGAGCTGGGTATCTGGTATCTCTGGGTCTAGACTAGAAATCCCTGGTTTCAGGAGGTGAGCTGGGGACTCGGAACACCCTGGGTCCAAGAGGGAGCTGGGCACTTTGGATACCTGGGTCCCAGGAGTGGAAGCTGGGTACCTGGGAGCCCTGGGTCTCGGAAAGAGGCCTGGATATCTTGGGCCCCTTGGACCTCAGTAGGAATTGTAAACCCGCCTAACGCCAGGGTTCAGGAGAGAAACTGAGGGCCTAGGATCGGAGCTTGGAGCTCCTATCTCCAGACCTTATGTGGAGAGGACGTGGGGTGTTATTAGGGTCCTAGGAGAGAACCCGCGGCCCTAGACGCTTGAATTCTGGAGGGGAACTAGTTCCATGAGGCCTGGAAGAGAAGCGGGGGCTCTAGAACCCTGGGTGGAGAAGACAGTCGGTACACGGGATCTCTGGGTTCCCTCCTGCCCTTGGGCCACCCCCTCCCGGAAGCACCCGATCTCCAAGGCCTCGAGCAGGCCATGTGTTCGGCCTACCCAACCAGGCTCCTGGGGCGCTAACCCAGACGTCAGGCCGAATTCCCCGCAGCCGGTCGGCACTGCCCACGTCGACTGCCATTCACTCTCGCTGCGGCTAATCCCCGCTCGCATTTGGCGGCCGGCTCCGCCCCAATGCAGCTCCTCTTCCACTGGCTCCCACCAAAACTGGGCACCTTCATTTCCTTCCCTGCCATTCGTCCAGAGCGGTGTCCGTCACCTTGCACCCGCCCCCACCGCCCAGCCATTGGCTTAGCAATCAAGGCTAGCAAAGGATTCTGGTTAACAGGGAAAGCCATCCAGTCCAAACCTAAGCGCGTCACCCAGAATTCGTCAGGGGTTGGATTAAATTGACTGCCAATCTTCGCAAGAACCGCCTTCTGCGTGTACTCATTGGCTTGCGTGCACGATTATCTCACCTGGCGCCCGCCTAGTCCGGTCAAAGGGGCCTTTCGCCAGGCCCCTCCTTCCTATCCACTTGACTCTCCGGAGTCGTCAATCCGGTTCTGAAGTCGCCCCGTAGTTCTGGAACTCCCGATTCATTGGGCTTCCTGCCTTCTCGGGTCGCCTTGATTTGCCCGCCCAGCACCGGCAGCCCGCATCCCACTGCCTCCGAGACCTGTCAGTCACGCGGCGCCTCCCGCCCACTGCCTCTCGCGGCACTGCGATTGGCCGCTCGCCTCCAGAGCCCGCGATTGGTGTCCCAGGAGCGGCGGCCGCCTCCCATTGGCCTGGCGGCGCCGTCCGTCACGCCGGCGGCGGGAGGGGGCGTCCCTCTCCCCCCTCGTCGTCTTCCCAGCCGCTGGGTTCCCAGAGTGCTCCGCGGCCGTGTGGAGCGAGGCCTTGTTCCCGCGTTGAGCCGCCGCCGCCGCCGCCTCCTCCTCAGCTTCAGCCTCCGCGCCAGGCCCGGCCCCGCCGCGCCATGTCGGACTACAGCACGGGAGGACCCCCGCCCGGGCCGCCGCCGCCCGCTGGCGGCGGCGGGGGAGCCGGGGGAGCCGGGGGCGCCGGGGGAGGCCCTCCGTCGGGCCCGCCGGGCGCGGGGGACCGGGGCGGCGGCGGCCCCGGCGGCGGCGGCCCGGGCGGGGGGTCGGCCGGGGGTCCCTCCCAGCCGCCCGGCGGGGGAGGCCCGGGAATCCGCAAGGACGCTTTCGCCGACGCCGTGCAGCGGGCCCGCCAGGTGAGGAGGCCGCGGGCCTGAGGGGCGCGCGCGAGCGGGGGAGGGGGCGGGGTCACGCGCGCGCGCGCGGGGTCGCGGAGGGGGGGCCCGAGGCCGCCGTGGGGTCACGTGGAGCTGTAGGCGGGGGCCTGGGCCGCCCAGGATGTCTCCAGTGGGCCCCCCGCGGGTGACCCCCCCTGCAGGGGAAAGGGGTGTCCGGGGGGTCGCCATGAACGGCCCCTGGATGTTTAGTGGCCCCGGAGGGCTGGGACTGACTTTGGGGAACCCCCCACTTTGGACACCCGAGGGCACGCTCCGCTCTCTAGGAAGCAGAGTGTCCCTCTTCCCCGGAGGGGGGTAGGGTCTTGCTTTGCCCTCATCTCCCCATCAGAGCAGAGAGCTGTTTGCCCCCGACCCAGTCTCATTTTTTGCCCGCTTCTCGGGGAGAAGGAACTGTGGGAGGAAAACAGCCCTTCCTCTTGAGCCTGGAAAGGGGGACCCTTGCTGCCAGAGTGGCCGAGCACTTAGGGGAAATGAGGAGGGTGGGCACAGGGGCTGGCTCTTTTTGATGCTTCCGGTGGCTTGAAAGCCTGGTCTGTCTCTCTTTGGGAAAGAGGGGAGGGTCCCACCAATGTGTTTTGAGGCATGATGATAACATGGAAGTGTCACATGCCGGTGTGACTGACCTCCTCGGCTCCTTTTGCAGCCTCCCCACGTCCTGGAGAGCAGGGGGCCCGTAGAATGGGAGAAGTTTGCTGTCCTCTCAGGAAGCCGCCGGGCTGGGGTCCGGCTGAGTGCCTTTGCTATTGAGTGCTTTCCCCGGGTTGTTCCAGTGCCTCCAGGGCAGAGTGGGAGGTCCCGTTAGGTGAACACCCTGTTCCCGCCCAGTGTGGTCTGTGGCTTTCTCACCTAAGGAGCAGGGTCGGGTTCTCACCTGCCCTTCATCCAGGTGCCCACCAAACTGCCTTGACAGAGAAGCAGTTGTAACGAGGCGAGTTGATGCTGTTGGCTGGGGTGGGAGTAAGTCTTACCCCAAGAGCTCTGGCTCCAAGCCTTAGAAGAAGGAAAATTGGGGGAGGTGGAAAGATAGATCCTTAGTTCATGGTTTGTGTGTCTTTGGAAAACTTGTAATAGACCCACAAACGGACTCTGGTTTTAAGTTTGTGGGATTGGGGTTATCTGCAGTTGCTGCTCACGCGTCTGATATGTAACCTGTGTTCTCAGAAAGGGTCTTTTGTTCTGGTGGAGTGAAGATTTTGGATGCCTTTAAGCAAAAAATTTCCCAAAACTTGTCCAACAAATGGCAAGCTTTCGAGAAAGGAAAGTTGTGCTCTTCACCATCCCAGAAGAGCCGGGCTACAGTCACTGTTTCTGCCTCCCTCGTGGAGGCAACCCAAGGACCCTCCTGAGAGCAGATCAGTGTGGATTGGGGTCCATTTGCAAACAAACGTAAGCGCAGATCCCACCTAGAACGGGGTTTGAAATTCCTGGATGACTCTTGAACGCCGAGGCCCTCGAGTAGGTTCTGAGAAGTTGATCTGAACACCAGGGAGGATTGGTTGTGGTGGTAACCTTCTGTGCTTACGATTTTTATTCTAGATCGCAGCCAAAATTGGAGGCGACGCTGCTACCACAGTGAACAACAGCACTCCTGATTTTGGTTTTGGGGGCCAAAAGAGGCAGTTAGAAGATGGAGGTAACTGCTTGTTGGGAAGAAGGCCTGGGCGTAGAGTGAAGGTCTTTGTTTGAACACGGTCCATCGTCAGGGGAAGCTCACTGCCGTTTGGTTTTTTCAAACCCCAGCAGTCCCAGCTTTGTTCGTTCTCTTTGTTTGGGCTGCCATCCTGGGGTATCGGGTGGCTGAGAGGAGCAGATTGATTGTGACTAGGTCCAAGTTGTAAGTTCTCAAGATCGGTCCTCCCCTTCTGGTAGGCCTGGGAAATGCTCGCAGTCGGGTCGAGGCCCCATGTAAGTGCCGTTTGGCTGGCCCAGGGCGTGCAGCGCTGCCCACGGTGGCCAGTATAATCAATGTGGGGATCGACCGAAATGGGCCTTACACCTGGGCCCTCCCTGACCCTGACCCCGGACTCGAATGCCGCCATCATCGCTCCTGTTATAAAGGACTTTTTTACTGTTCAGTGCTGGTGGTGGGACTGAGGGACGTCTGGCCCCCCTCTCCGAAGTTGGTCCCTGCTACTCTCCTGTCTTGGCTCTGATATTGGGGGTGGGGGAGGGGGGCTGTTTGCCAGGCCGCGTGGCACCAGCATTAGATTAGAGGCAGCTGTGGGTGGGTGGGTGCAGCATCTGACATCCTCTCTCTTTCACAGACCAACCGGAGAGCAAGAAACTGGCTTCCCAGGGAGACTGTAAGTCCATTGGATGATCCAGGCAGAGGGCAGCTTCAGGGTCTTAAGAGGTTTTTGGAATTTGGGAGCTAGAAGCTCTGAGCAGATGGCACCTGTTCTTAGTGGAGGCTCTAGGTGCTTAGCATCTGGAGTCCATGAACTTTAGGGATCCCAGAGTCCCCTGGAGACGGAGGCAGAGCCAGTCAGATGGGCGGTGGGTTCGTCACACTCAAGCACTCAGGGAGGCCCAGGAGCACCGTACTAAGTGCCAGCCACTCCTTGTGCAGACGGGACTACCTGGGGGCCAGCGGTGTTCAGGGTCCCAGAGAGGAGCCAGGCCAATCTTTGCTTTGAATTTTCTCTTCTGCAGCCATCAGTTCTCAACTTGGACCCATCCATCCTCCCCCCAGGTGAGTTGTGATTTGGAGAACACTTGCTTTCTTGTCGGTCAGCTGTCTCTAGCTTTTTTTGCTAAGTTGGGGGAGAGCTGTGTCTGGGGCTGCACCGTTTCAGACCTTGTCCCCGCTGCTCGCTTGGTCACAGAGAAGCCCAGGAGGCAGAAGAGCTGCCTTTGCTCCTGTGCTTGCCTGTGTGCAGGGCCCAGGGAGGGGCGGTCTTTGCGCCCTGTTGCTGCCTGCGCTGTGGTGGGACACTTAGCAGTAGACAGCCATCTTTCTAGAAGGGCTGGGGGCCGCCCATGGTTTTCTTGTCCGCCTTCTGCAAATGTTTGATCCCCCAGGACTGGTGGGGCCCGGGGTTCTTTCCTACCTTTTTGCCGCCCACCGCCCATGACTTCAGTGGATCTGATGTAGAAGTCTTTGTGAAGGACCACATTGTTTCTTTTTTTTGCTTATACGAAATGCAGTAAAATTGGTTTGTTAGGGAGCTGACGTGGAAAAGATACGAACTTTTTTTTTTAAGTCAAGAGATTTGAAATGATTATCGGAATTCCGTAGACGTGTCCAAGTGTTTGCTCTTGCTCCAGAGTTGGTGGGAGCAGCACTAGTTCAGGGACCACGTTGACCCCGACCAAGCCTCTTGTGGCCTGAATGGGGAATCTGAGGCCTTGAGAGTTGAGGGGCTTGCTGTGGGGAGAGGGAGCCCTGTGCTCTTGTCACACTCCGCTTAGGCCTGTGGGGTCCTGGTCCAGATGTGGTGGGAAGCATGGGCAGAGGCCAGTAGACCAAGGGCCCCACAGGTCAGGGGCTTTGGCTTTGAGGGGCCTTTTCTCCTGGAGACCCGTGTCTGTCTGCTGCTGCTCACTGGAGACTGACTTTCATTGTCTGTTCTTGCAGGACTTCAATGACAGAAGAGTACAGAGTCCCAGACGGCATGGTGGGACTGAGTGAGTGTGGGTCGCTGTGGGGTGTCCATTTTCCCTGCCTCTCAGGGATGTGTCCTGGGAGCCCCTGCTGGCTCAGGAGCTTCTGGTGTGAGAAGGTCTATTGTCCTCTGCTCTCACCTGTCCTCTCTGGGTGGGGGGCAGGTGGGGCTCTCAGGAGGGCCAGGAAGCCCTGCCACACAGTGTTTTGAGCACTGGGGTGCCCTCGTCAACCTCTGCATTACCCCTTTTCCCCACCTAGTCATCGGCAGAGGAGGCGAACAGATCAACAAAATCCAGCAGGACTCAGGCTGCAAAGTCCAGATCTCTCCAGGTACGGGAGCCCGACGCTGTCAGAATGGGCGCGGGGCTGGGTGCGGGGCTGGGCTGGTCTCCTAGTGCGTTCATAATCATTCAACTGGACAGAAGCGAGAGAGGTTGGTATTTACTGAGCGCTTTCTCTATGCCAGGCGCAGGGCAAGGTCTCAGCCAGTACAGCACTGCACCCTGCAACGTAGCTGCAACTTTCCTTCCTTTCACTTTGTAGTTGGGGGAAGGCTGAGGTGGGAGACGGGAGGTTGAATATAGGAAGTTTTGTCCTAGATCTTGCTCTAAACCGTTAGTTAAGTCACCATCTGAAGTGAACACCCAGCCGGAAACCAGTGGGCATGTGTGAGGCAGGGAGATGCACTGGAAGGAATGGCTCTGAGGCCGGCCTGGGTCTGAATCCCAGTCTGGCTGCCCGGCTGGCAGGGGTTCCTGAGGACCGGCTCCACCGCAGCGGGGTTTGCAGACTGGCGGTGGCAGGAGTGGCCCAGGGTTAGGACTGCCTTCTACCTCATCCTTTTCCCCTAAGTGGTTTAGCACCTTGACTGGACTTCAGGCTTCCCGGCCATGGTCTTGCGTGGAGCAGCTCCCGGGAGTCTGACGAGGCATCATGTGGTCAGGCTGCTGCGGGCAGAAGCAGCTGTTGTTTGCTGTGCAAGTTTCCCCGTCTCAGTGGAAAGCCTTTCTCTAGTGTCAGTGGACCCCGGGCGGCACTGACCCTCTCTCTCCTCTGCAGACAGCGGCGGCCTACCCGAGCGCAGCGTGTCCTTGACGGGAGCCCCAGAATCTGTCCAGTAAGTCCCTTGGCAGGGCCTGTCATTGTGATGAGGGGAGCAAGCAGAAGCTCCTTCCATCCTCTGAAAAGTTGGGGGTGACTCCGCCCAGTCCTCAACCCTTCCCCTCGCCAGAGGCCTGTACTGATGGTTTGATGGCCCCCCGACTTCGAAGAGCTGAGAGAACCACCTGAATAGCTCCAGTCCTGGGGATAGACCCTCTTCCTCGTCATCTGTCAGACCCACATGTGGAGTCCCCTCTTCCCCTTTGAGCTGGACAGGACTGTCAGGCCCTTGATCTTTCGGTGTCTGAACCCCGCTCTTCCCTTCCCAGGAAAGCAAAGATGATGCTGGATGACATTGTGTCTCGGGGTCGTGGGGGGCCCCCAGGACAGTTCCACGACAATGCCAATGGGGGCCAGAACGGCACCGTGCAGGAGATCATGATCCCCGCGGGGAAGGCCGGCCTGGTCATCGGCAAAGGCGGGGAGACAATTAAGCAGCTGCAGGTGAGGGGTGGGATGGAGGACAGAAGCTCCTCCTGTCGCAGGAAAGTCTCCTTCTGCGTCTGCGTGTGCACACCCCACCAACGGCTTTGCCAGAGCCTCTTACCCTGTGTGGTCACGCCTGCCCCTGCGTGAACTAGCCCCAGAAAGTCGTTTGAAAGCCTGGCACTGACTGTCCGCATTGGTTGTAAAGGAGCGAGCTGGAGTGAAGATGATTTTAATTCAAGATGGCTCCCAGAACACGAATGTGGACAAGCCTCTCCGCATCATTGGGGATCCTTACAAAGTACAGGTGAGAACCCCAGGGGTGACGGTCTGTCGGGAGAAGTGAGTGACAGGTAGGGCTGGAGATTTGAGTGAAGGGGGAGAGATTTTCAAGTGTGTTCTCTTGAAGTCAGCCCAGGGCTCTCACTCTCATACTGAGTTGGACAGGGTTGGACATGAGCAGGAGGTCTAAACCCTGATCATTCCATTTCTTATCTGGAGAATGGGGATGGCTGGCCATCCCTCCCTCTCAGGATGGCAGGTCAGGAGCTCAGCAGGGCTCTGCGGTGGGCTCAGCTTAGGTCCCTGAGCCCTTGGATCATGGGAGGCTGGGGGAACAGTGCTGGGGGGCTTGCCCTGTGCACACCCTGCCCTGTGTGTTTGCAGCAAGCCTGTGAGATGGTGATGGACATTCTCCGGGAACGCGACCAGGGTGGCTTTGGGGACCGGAACGAGTACGGATCCCGGATTGGCGGGGGCATCGATGTGAGTGCAGGCCTCCCGTAGTAGTGGAAGACCACGGGGTGGGTGTGACTCAGCTCTGGTGGGCAGAGGGCACCAGAACTGCAGGGACAAGACTTAGCTGACCCTTCCGCGTCCCTCTCTCCTCAGGTGCCAGTGCCCAGGCATTCTGTCGGGGTGGTCATTGGCCGGAGTGGAGAAATGATCAAGAAGATCCAGAACGACGCTGGCGTGCGGATACAGTTTAAGCAAGGTCAGGGGCCTGGCTGTGAAGATAAGCCGAGTGGGGGGTGGCCGTGTCTTCCGGTTCTGTCCTCGGGATCGCTCTGAGGCTCCACTGCAGAGGGCCTGGCACCAGGGAGCCCGCCGAGCCTCTGCGATGCCTCGTCGCTCCCAGCCAGCAGCACGTGCTCTGTGTCCCTCCTTTGTGGGAGAGCTGTGTGAGAGCTCGCGAAGGGCATATGGAATGGTTTCCCTTCATCAAATCTCCCCGTTTCCTCTTTCCCACCGAATGGCCCATCCTGACAGGGCAGCCGGGGTTGGATCAGATCACTTTGTCCCAACTCTGGGCTACTGCCAAGCCTCAGCGAGAGTCTCCCAAGTGGCAGGCCCATGGGGAGGAGGACTTCTCTGTTGCTTTTCTGAGGTCTATTATCGTTCTCAGTTTCATAAAATGCATCTGTTCTGGGGGTGCCGCGTGCCGGAAGAAGCCTCAGCTGCTGCCCTGCCCTAGTTGGTCGGTTTTCTTCCTTGGAAACCCGGCCCAACCGCATTTCCCCCCGCGCCTCAGTCCGTGGCGTGTGATGAGCGGCACTTGGAGCCCGAGATATTTCTGACACCTGGCTTGGCACGGTGTCTGCCTCGCAGAGGCGGTGTTATGGGGTTTGGTGTTGTGCTTTTCTGTAAAATCCGTCTCCCTGTTCTCTGGATGCTGGCTTCAGACGATGGGACAGGTCCTGAGAAGATCGCTCACATAATGGGGCCCCCAGACCGGTGCGAGCACGCGGCGCGGATCATCAATGATCTCCTCCAGAGCCTCAGGGTAGGTGGTGTCGGGCTGTGCTGCCGACGGCCGGTGAGGTCGGAGGGGACGTGCCCGGCCCTGCAGGGGAAGTCCAGGCGCCAGGCTAGTTTTCTGCGCTCATTGCCTGTCTCCTGTCTCGCAGAGTGGTCCCCCCGGTCCACCAGGGGGTCCTGGCATGCCCCCGGGGGGCCGGGGACGAGGAAGGGGCCAAGGCAACTGGGGCCCTCCTGGCGGAGAGATGACCTTCTCCATCCCCACTCACAAGTGTGGTCTGGTCATCGGCAGAGGTGAGTCTGCTGTCGGCATTCTGTCTCCCCGCCCCTTCCTCTGCTCCGCCTTCCCTTCACTGCCTGTGGCTCCCCGCAGGCGGGGAGAACGTGAAAGCCATAAACCAGCAGACGGGCGCCTTCGTGGAGATCTCCCGGCAGCTGCCGCCCAACGGGGACCCCAACTTCAAGTTGTTCATCATCCGGGGCTCACCCCAGCAGATTGACCACGCCAAGCAGCTCATTGAGGAGAAGATTGAGGTGGGCTCAGGGAGGGGCTCTTGGGGCCCGGACCCATCTCCAGTCTCCTTCCCTCCCAACTGACTTCGCTTCTCCTTTCTCCAGGGTCCCCTCTGCCCAGTTGGACCAGGCCCAGGGGGACCAGGCCCTGCAGGCCCCATGGGGCCCTTCAACCCTGGGCCTTTCAATCAGGGGCCACCTGGGGCTCCCCCACAGTGAGTAATTCTCTCAGCTTCCTGGGATTTGGGACATGGGGGGTGCTGTGCTGGCAGGAAGAGCAGTGGACCCCATTTTCATTCACCACCAAAAAGAAGTTTTGATGTCACCCGTCCAAGACATGATCCAGCATAGTATCCTGCATTTATAGATGCCATTTTTGTCATTATTATTTTTTTAAGATTTTATATATTATTTGATAGCGAGAGAGGGAACACAAGCACAGGGAGTGCGAGAGAGAGAATTCCGGGAGCCCAATGCGAGCTCGATCCCAGGACCCTGGGATCATGACCCGAGCTGAAGGCAGATGCTTAATGACTGAGCCACCCAGGCGCCCACATAGATGCCATTTTTTTTTTTAAGATTTTATTTATTTGCCAGAGAGAGAGATAGAGCAAGTGAGTACACACAACCAGACAGAGAGGCAGGCAGAGGCAGAGAGAGAAGCAGGCTTCCTGTCGAACAAGGAGCCCGATGCGGGACTCGATCCCAGGACCCTGGGATCATGACCTGAGCCGAAGGCAGCGGCTTAACCCACTGAGCCACCCAGGCGTCCCCACAGATGCCATTTTTAAAAGATGTCACAGATGTTGACCCTCGTCTCCCGTCTAACAGGCAGACCCGTGTATGTTGAATTTGGGGGACTTGGACATCTTCAAGCCAACGGAGTTTGAGGCTTGGCATTGTTCATCTCACGTTTCCTTGAGCGAGGGGCCTGTGACTGAGTATACACAGTGGGCTCGGCCTGGGTCTCCTTCCTGCCAGCCACCCTTGCCCCCGTGGAGGAGTGGCCCCAGCTCACTTGTCCTGTCTTTCTTGTCCCACAGTGCGGGCGGTCCCCCTCCTCACCAGTACCCACCCCAGGGCTGGGGCAATACCTACCCCCAGTGGCAACCACCTGCTCCTCATGACCCGAGTAAGTACAGCTGCCCGGGGGAGGTGCAGGACCGGGCAGGGGTGCTTGGGTGCCGGCGGGGAAGGCGGGGCTCGCTTCCGGTCCTGCGCTTCAGCCCGCTGTCGTCCTCCAGATAAAGCTGCAGCCGCCGCAGACCCCAACGCCGCCTGGGCCGCCTACTACTCACACTACTACCAGCAGCCCCCAGGCCCTGTGCCCGGCCCTGCACCGGCCCCCGCGGCCCCCCCTGCCCAGGGCGAGCCCCCTCAGCCCCCACCCGCCGGCCAGTCAGACTACACTAAGGCCTGGGAAGAGTATTACAAAAAGATCGGTGAGTGCGGGGGCCAGTGCGGGGGCTCAAGCAAGCCCGAGGCTGGCGAGGGGCAGCCGCGTCCCTGTGCCGCGCTCTGAGTTCTCGAGGCCTTCCTCCTGCAGGCCAGCAGCCACAGCAGCCCGGAGCGCCCCCGCAGCAGGACTACACGAAGGCCTGGGAGGAGTACTACAAGAAGCAGGGTGAGCCGCCGGGGCTGCAGGGCAGGGGCAGGGGCAGGGCCTGGCCCTCTAGCCCCCGGCCACACTCCTCACCGTGACTCCGCTTGCCCGCAGCTCAAGTGGCCACCGGAGGGGGTCCGGGAGCACCCCCAGGCTCCCAGCCAGACTACAGCGCCGCCTGGGCCGAATATTACAGACAGCAAGCCGCGTACTACGGCCAGACTCCAGGTCCTGGCGGCCCCCAGCCTCCACCCACACAGCAGGGACAGCAGCAGGCAAGTGGGAATTGCCACCCTCCTCCTCCTCCTTTTTCCTTCCAACCCCCGGCCACCGTCCATCCTGCCTTAGTGGGTAGCGCCGGAAATCCCTTCCCCTGCGGGGTGTGTCCTTGATGCCTGCAGCGGGGGCCGTGTGGCCAGAGGTCTCCGGGAGTCCTCACGAGCTGGGGACGTGTGCGCTGGGTCCAGAGGTTAAACGAAGAGGCCTCCCTGCGCCGGCCCGCTTGTTCCTGTGTCACGCTGTTGCGATGCTGGGGGAAGCGCGAAACACACAAGGTCGAACTGTTGAACTGGTGGGTAGTCCTGGGGGTGGGGGGCAGGCCAGCAGCACAGACGTTGGTCGCCGTCCTGGCTGCTAACTCGCTCACTCAAAATCTGGCCACTTGGGAAGAAAACGGATGTGTTTTCCCCTCTCTGCATTACTTTTTTGGGTTTTGTTCTTGGCATTCTTTTATTTTTAACCCCACGATCTTTTCCTTGTGTCCAAGTGACTGTGTTGCAGGCGGCCCCAGCGTGGGTCAGCCCTGGCTCTGGTGGGACTCGGGGAGCTTGCCAAGGGGGCCGGCCCCAGGGCCCCTCCCGCCCCGCCTGGGCTCCGCCTCCTCTGCTCTCGCGCCTGCCTCTGTGTCCCGGTTTTGTCTGTGAAGTGGGCATGACGATCGTCGCCACCTTCCAACCTACCTCACAGGGGTGTTGTGGGGACACCGTGATCTCTGAGATTGTCATGTTGTGATGCGCCAGAGCACCTGCCTTCCGAAGACAGAGGGCGCCCCTCCTCCCTCCCAGACCCTGAGCGCGCTTCTCGCCCTCTCCCTGCTCTCTGCCTCTGCGGCCCCGCTTCTCTCCTCCTGGTCCTCATGTCCCTCTCTCCCCCCTCCTCCATCAAGGAGCCGGTCTGACTTCAGCCGAGTCCCCGGAGCACTTGACTAGACAGTTACAAACACATGGTTCCAGCCTGAGCTCACCACAGGCCGAGGAGCGGGGCTTCTTGGCCCCTCCTTGCCACCGTCCCCGTCTCTCCCGCCCCCCTCCCCTCCCCGGAGTGACCAATTCCTATCTCTTCCCTCTCCGCAGGCTCAATGACTCGAATGAATGTGAACTTCTTCATCTGTGAAAATCTTTTTTTTTTTTTTTTTCCTTTTTTTTTTTTTGGGGGGTTTTTTTTTTTTTTTTTTTTTTTTTCCTCGTTTGTTTGGCGAGAGAGCGATGGCTGCCGTGAGGGGTGTGGGGGGGGAGCCCTTGTGAGTGGCTTGTTGGTCATGGCCTTGGGCGATGCTGGGCTCTCACTCTCTCGCTTATTCTGTGTGTCTCATGCTTTTTTTCTTTCAAAATTGGGATCCTTCATGTTGAGCCAGCTGTAGAAGATAGAATTAAATCTGCCAAAAAAAAAAAAAATTTTTAAATATAAAAAACACAAAAAGCAAACAAAACCTATAAAATTTATATATATATATATAAAAATCTCTATCCCTTCCTGAAACTGCCTCTTTCAGGGGAAAGCAATTCATTTTCTTCCTTCTACCCTTGGCCCTCTTCATGTTTTTAAAATAAACTTTTAAAAAGGAAAAAAAGTCACTCTTGCTATTTCTTTTTTTTAGTTAGAGTTGGAACATTCCTTGGACCAGGTGTTGCTGTCGCAGGCCCCCTCCCTTCCCCCAGTTGAGCCCCTTGGCCTCTGCTCCTCCTCTCTCCCCCCCCCCCCCCCCCCGCCCGGCCCCCCCCCAGCCCCCCCCCCCCCCCCCCCCCCCATCCCGGGACTGGTCTTGGGTTTCAACTGTTCAAGAGGACATTGAAACTGAAAACAAATTGAGAACAAAACAAAAAATTGTATGGCAGTTTTTACTTTTTATCGCTCGTTTTTAACTTCACAAATAAATGATAACAAAACCTCCCCGTGTCTGCTGGGTGCCGTCTCTCTCTCTTTCTTTCTCTCTCTCTCTCTCTCTCTTTACTTCCCTCCTCTCTCCCTTGCCCCATGTAGAGTTTTGAAGCAGATGTTTGTTTGTTCCTTATAGATGTTGTAAAAGCCTGATAATGGTGATTGGAAATTACAAGCTTTGTGTTGTGTTTTTTCTTTCCTTCCTTC